ATTGGATGCAGGCATAAAGATGAGTAGTGTGCTCATAACGCTCATGTTTGGCAGCCCACCGGTGTGTTCAGTCGTCTGGACAGAGGGGCGGAAGAGGATCAGAGGCTGAGGCCAGGCAAAATGGCTGCAAACATGGATGTAGACGATGTAGACGACGAAGACGACAGTGACGGAGAAGGCTCCGTCCTCCAGTACGCTGGTGTCCTCAAGAGACTGCCTCCCTCCCAGAAAAAAGAGCCAGCCACAAAACCAGCCCCGACTACCCTGCGGCGCCTGGGAGGCAAATTCAAACTACCTCCCTCTGACACTCCAACCTCCTCCTCTACTCCTAATGGCCTCCCCCCTGCCAAGATTAGTGTGCTTCAGAGACTGGGCAAGCTCCCTGCAGCACACCAGGGTACGGCTGTGACGCCCACACCTGCTGACACACAGGACAACAGGGTGACCACCAGCACCAGGCCCAGAGCTCAGGAGAGACTGACCGTAGAAGGCCCCAAGGTCAGCAGCAGCACCGGGGCTGCCGCAGGAGGAGGAGAGTCTCTGGGTGCTCAGATGGACGTTAGGGCTATTAGTGTTTTTAAGAGACTGGGCAACAAGAAAACCTAACGCACACTGTAAATCCCTAAAAAGTTATTCAGACTCTTTCTATATGTCCTTTGTAGAATTTGTATCACCACCTCTTTGCATTTATCCTGGCAACATGCAGGACTGCAGATTAAAGTGGGTTTTTTTGTGTTCAGCCTGAGTCAGGGCACAAAATTAGCACCAGCCACCAGCCACATGCTGGTATAATACACATACAATACACATCAGTCCCCAGCCAAAAAAAATGGCATCAACGATTGAGTGGCTGGTAAAATTTGAACATTCACTAGCCATTTGGCGGGGAGTTAATTTTGCACCCTGGCCTGCGTTTATGGACGATTTTAATGCTGCATTTTGGCTTTAGGGTTACTCTTAGATAGAAATAGATGATTGATTTTTTTTTTTTTACACATTAGTCAAGCTGCCATTGGAAAATCACCTTTGTTTAGTGTCCAAGCTTTTAATTTGAGGACTCAAAGTTCTCTGTGTGTTATTTGCGCAACCAGAAAGCTATTTATCATGTGTCAGTCATATCTGCCATTTATAATTTTTTTTAAAATATATATATTTAACTGTATTTGTGAGCTTAAGGCATGAGCATGACGTCAACCAGGCTGCCATAATGGTGGTTTTAATTTCACCCTGTAACTCCACTTATAAGGATGCTGCTGCCCAAACTCCCTTTTTAGATATTCCTCCTCAATGGATGCAGTCGAGTAGTTGAAAATGTTCCTCCAGGATTAAGTATGTGGTAACTTTGTTGATATTTGCCTAAAAAAGAATAATTTCTTTCAAAGAAGATCTGATGAAAAGGTACAGATAGAAGCTTGTTTTCACACCTCAGGCAATTCAAGTTATTTCTTGAAGTAAAGAACACAAGACAGCCGTCGGACTTGAGACTAGCTTTGAAGCGATAGTAAAGTCTTTCTATTTCTTGTTACCTTCATCTTAAAATTACCTCCTCTATCATAAAAGTGTCGACGAAAGGCTTTTTAATTTCAGTGAGTGAAAAAGTAAATTCATATGGTTACACAGAACGACCTCTATGAACACTTGAATAAAGGAAAAGCACCGCACCTCCTCCTCCTCCTCTTCTTCTTCTTCTGGGCTTTGTGGAGTAGAATTTCTCACCTATGAACATGTCAGCTTTTCTACCATAGGACTGAACATTTTCTATAAACCACCTACTTGAAGGCCGGAGCAGTAGAATATTGTTTATTTTGAAATGCAATGTATAGATTTGTTAGACTTGATTTCAGACAGCACAGAATCTGTTCTGCTGCATATTTTTCTATGTGGGCATTCTTGTATCATGTATCCATGTAAAGAAATTCAGAGATGCCATCAGACCTGATGTCGGGGGGCCACTGTCTGTGTCAGTAGGAGGTCCACTTTTTACCCAGTATGGGTCATTAACCAACCCACGTACTTTTTTGGTCTGTCAGACTTCACACCAGAACTTTGTTACACTGTAAATATTTGAAATGTTTAAAATCACATTACGGAATTTTTATTTTTATTTTATTTTAAAGAACAAAGAAGAGAAAAACACACCACGAACTGTCATGATTTTTTTTATGATGTTGAGGGAGAAAAAGTCTGCTTGGAAACTGATTAAAAGAGAAAAAGGGTTCAAACGACTTGCTGTTCTTTTTTTTCTCTTTGAAGCAGGCATTTACATCGCATGTCATTGTAACAAACTGTGCTTTCCAACTCTTTTAAGTATCGGCGTGACAGCAAAGTCGATATTTACATTCCCCTGGGAACATTTAGTTCATCATTTGTCAATAAACCTGTTAAACTCCCACTCCTCTCTCAGTGAGGTTGCTGCTGCATAATGTCAGTTATGTTAATGATGTTTCATCAGAGGATGCGTCTTTATACAGCTGCAGCCGGGGAAACACAACTGGCATCCAGATCTTATCCATATTTTTATGATTATTTAAACATTTACATCCACATAGTTTACAGATAAGTAGAGGCCGATGTAGTTCTGCATCAGACATCATGTTCCCTTTAAATGAAAAGGAAAATGTCCTCTTTTTACTGATATGATGATCTTGAGGTACTACTTACGCCTCTTTTACACTATCTGTTGGTACTGTAGGTATAAAGGAACTCCGGTGATCCCCAAACATCATATTTGTTCACTGGTGTGATACTGAACACCTAATTTAAGACTTATCTGAGAGTACTTGCACTTTAGGGCTGCAATTAACAATTATTTTCATTATTTTCATTATCAATTAGTTGTTTGGTCCATAAAATGGTGAAAAATGTTAATCACTGTTTCCCAAAGCTCAAGATGTTTCGTCCACAACCAAAATACATTCAGTTTACTGTCATAAAGGCCTAAAGAAACCAAGAAATATTCACATTTGAGAATGTCTCTAACCATTTATCAAAATATTTGCTGATTAATTTAATAGTCAAAAACGAATCAATTTATTGACTAATCATTGCAGCTCTACTTAAAGTTAAGCAGAAATGTATGCTAGTTTTTTTTATCATGCAGTGCTTGAAATGATAATAAGGAACAACATAATAGCTTGATATGACAACACTTTAACCACCCATTAAGCAATTATAAGCACTTTAGTTAAATTGTTTAAAACACAGCATCATTTAGTTGTAAACTGTTTTAAGAGTTTATTAGTTAATCAACAACTATAACTTTCGGCAGCCACAGTATAAGTGGATGCTGGTTAATAAAAGATCAAAAATGACAATATCCTGAAGTTGTATGGAGGAGAAGTTATAATTATTGACAAATTCTGCACACTTAAAATGTTATTATATGTGCTTATAACTACATTATAATATGTAATAAACATTTAATAAATAATATAATAATAAATAGTGCTTATAAATACTAAAAGTAACAATTTATTCTAAACAGAGAGACAGAGAAATACTGTACATTAATAAACATTTAGCATGTTTTTATCCAACTACTATATAGTGTGTTATATACAATGTATTATATGTTTATATGGAACATTTCAAAGTGCTCATCTGGTGCAGTCTGTGTTGAAATATATGAAACAGAGCATAAAAAAATACCGTCAAAGCCATCTCGTGTCGTTAAAGCTGAATTCCAGTTTTAGGGATTTAGGGTTAAACCACCATAAAAGATAACTTCCTGTTGGCTTCAGAAGTTGAACAGTATGTTTTTAATGCCACTTGAGAAAGATTGGATGACATTATTTAGTGCAGTGTGATTAAAGATTAAAGAAAAGGTGTCAAGCAGGAAAACTAAAATAAACACCTCCTTTATGGCACTTTAAAAACTCATAGGTCCTACAAATAGTTGGCAGTGATCCCTCTAATCTACACCATGCAGATGCCAGTAATTGGTGTTACTTTGATGTGACACTGTAGCTGTTTCGACCCTTTATATGGACACAACTTTCATCTCTATTCATGACAACACTGAGACAATACCAGTGTTTAATTGCACTCTTACACCTGTATGAATGCTGTATGTTAATCAATTATTCATGAGTGTTTATTTTTATGCTGATTGAAGTCTAGATGACCCGGAGGGGCTGATACACCATACAGATGTGAAACTACAGATGTTTACATGTCACACTGAGAGGATGGCCTGCTCCTGGACTGAGGTAACCTCATGTGAGACTTTCCTCTGCTGCTCATAAACCAGATGAATCACAACCTTCACACATACGAGGTTGCTTAAAAATCTGATGGAAATTAGGTCACAACCTTGAAGAGAAGAATGTAACATATGTGTGTGTGAGTGTGATATGATTGGCTGGTGGGCTGCAGGTTCAACCACACATCACGTCAAAGAAGGAGTGTAATTGACACAATGTCCCCTTGAGGTCGCTGTCTCCCTCCTCCTCCACCTCCTCCTCTGCTCCCTGCAGCCTCCTGCTGTCCTTCTCCTTAAAAAAAAACCTTATCAACTGAAGTCATCCTCAGTTTCACTATAATCTAAAGGGGAGATGCCACTAAAGTAAAAGCTGAATTAGCATGCATCAGCCTGTTTTCATTGTGACACCTGCTCACGTCCAAACTATGGGAGTGACGTAATCTGCCATCTTTAATGAGGCTATTAAATAATAATAATTTAAATATTGTAAATATGGGAGGACTATGGCTGTGGATAGTGTAAACAGGGCGTACCCATTGCCTAACAGTCCAATAAATATGCAAATAAGTTATTATTTATAAACAGATATAAGAATTATTTTATCATTAATAGATTTATTTTACCAAACTACAGTATCGTTTTTAAATTAATCGATCATTTCTGAATATTTCTGCACGTTTTTTCCTTTTTATTATTTTTCTGTCATTTAAAATCTTGACTGCAGCAACGCCTCACGACTCTACTCTTTTCTTTCTCCCTTCCCACAATGCTGTGCGGTAAAGGGGCTGTGTAAAGTGTGTGCGCGCTGTTTGTGGTGCTGAAGCTGCGCGTGCCTCGGAGGCTGCAACCATAGAAATCCACACGAGCATCCTTCCGCGAGAGGAGTCAGTAGGAGGTTTTTTCCTTTCCGACGGTGGGAAGAAAATCCAGGATGTCCCTGTCAGTTGTTCAAGCCTCGTTTATCCGCTTGTGGCCGCAAAACATTTAATTTATTACATTTCTATTTTACGTTTTTACGTTTATTCTTCAAGCACAAGCTCACGATCCGGTTTCTGAAGCCGTTTTCTGTTGTTTTTTCGAGGCTCGTCGTCTCTCCGGTGCCGCCGCCTGCCCAGCCGCCTCTGCCGCTCCGTCCCACATCCTTTATGCACAGCACGCTGCTCCGGTCCTCCCCAACTAAACACACATTCGTGTCCGAGCACCATGGCCCGCTCCCGGCGCTTTCACTGAGAGACATGGAAGCCAAACAACACCCGATAAAGAGCCTAAAAAGCTACCCGGAGACCGGTGGCCGGAGCCTGGCAGCGGCCGCCGGAGTCGACGGCGGCGGGTACCGAGCCGGCTCCGCCGAAATGGAGATGGAGTCGAAGATCCAGAAAGCCATCGACTTCAAGGTGGAGGGTCACCGCTGCTACAAGGAGAAGAAATTTCGGGAAGCGATTGGCAAGTACCACCGGGCGCTGCTGCAACTCAAAGGGGTGCATGTGGTCGACGGGACGACGGGCTCCGAGGTCAACCTGCTCAACCAAGCCGCGGCCAAGCTCACCGAGGAGCAGCGGAGAGCCGTGGAGAGCACCGAGATCGAGTGCTACGACAGCCTGACAGGTGAGCCGGTACTCCCCACCCACCCCCACACACACACACAACCCCGCAACCCCCCGCCTGAAGTAAGCACTGCTGACACCATTGTTCGTCCCGGTTCACCGGGTTTACACAAGGTGGTAGTCGGTGGTTATTTCTGCAAGGTGCTGTCTTTCTCTGGCGCAGAGGCAGGTGAAACAGCAGATGCACACTGATTTGACCAATAGTAGCCCACATGGTGCCGCTTTAGTGGATTTAATGGATTTATAACACTGTCCGACCAAATTAGTGCTTTAGTGTCACAATTAAATGGACACACACTGTCATTGCTAATTTTTCTCTTTTGTTTGTGAACCATTTTCTTTCTGCACATTATTCCTGCTGCGTTCAAATAAAAGACAAGTACATAAACAAAGGACATAATGTTTTCATTATGTATGTATGAGTACAAGTTGCTCCGCACTGTTTGTGTTGTAACATTTCACAAGAGGGGGGGGGTCTGAGGTGAGAAGACCTCCCCTGAACCGTCCAATGGGTGATGTAAGGCTGGTGTCTAATGCAGTGACTGTGCAGGGTTAAATGAGCACAGACAAGATCAACTCATTGCTGTAGTAACTGCACCAAACTTTTAATAAAGTTATATGAGTGTGCTACAGTAAACTCGTTAAACTATAGCTGCAATCAGCGATTATTCTCTCACTGAATCATTTGGTCTATAAAATGTAGTTTATGAAGTGACGTCTTCTAATTTCTTGATTTGTCCAACCAACAGTCACTTTAAAATGATATAAAGCAGAAGAAAATCTGCAAATACTTACATTTCATAAACTTTATCTATGAAATGTTTGAGGCTTTTGTGGCTATCGATTATCAAAATGGACTCATTTTCTGCTGATCCACTAATAAATTAATCAACTACACCTTTCGTCTCTATTTTCATCATTTTTTTGTGAAATACACTGAACATTGTTGTCAGAATTTAACATTTAATACAGTTTTATACGGCACTAAAGCTAGATTTTCAGAGTGTTTAGTGTTCATTTAAAAACAAACTAGTGTATCGCAATTTACTGCATCAATAAATACCCACAATATGGTTACAGCAATATAAGAACTGCTATAATCATGAATATATTGCCACCTTTGTGAAAATAATGTAATTATGACTACAGTATGTGCTCAATATATCATGACGTATGTTGACACCCAGGAGGAGATGATGAATGGTGCTCACTACAGCAGTAATATCACATCGCTACATATGTATGTCGACGTTGTGATCTTGGGTCACAAGTTGTGGCATGATGTTGTGTCTCGTTGGCCGTCCCAGGCGCTGCCCAGTCAGCCTGCTATGATGCATTGAAGGTCGCCTTGTTCTGCGCAGCGTTCAGGGCCTGTCTGGAGCCAGTAGGGAGACCAGTGTGGCGTGAAGGAAAGATGGGGGAGGGAAGGAAGCGAGGAAGAGAGAAAGAGAGTGTAATAAGGAAGTTAAAAAAAAAGGTAGAATTGGGGAAGGATGGAGCAGAAGATATGGTGGAAGAGACAGAAGGAGATTAAAGGGATGTCAGTAAGAGGAAGAACAGGCGTGGAGAGGAATAGTAGTGAGCAGTGGTACAGAAAGGGGAGACGAGGGGGAGGAAGGGACTGCTAGCACGCGACAGGGGGCCATATTTACCATGGCAACCATCGCTGGGCCTTTCCCCTGTTGTTGTATTAATACGGCTCATGCCCTCCCCTCACTGCTGCCTCAAACAGTGCACATGCGCACTCACACACACACACAAAGAAACCTCGCTCCACTTGCTTTGCCATCAATGATTGTGTTAACATGGATTAAGATGTTTATATATTGGATCTTTACATTCATATTCCTGCTGATAGAGCCATTTGTATGACAGAAGATGTCTGCTCCACATTATTTCACATCAGAAAACTCCTTTAAAGGTCCAGTGTCTAACATTTAAGAGGCACTATTGGCAGAAATGGAATATAATATGCATAATTATGTTTTTATTAGTGTATAATCACTTGAAAATAAGAAATATTACCTTTTTGTTACCTTAGAATGAGACGTTTTTAATGTACAGACCACCATGTTTCTACAGTAGCCCAAAATGGACAAACCAAACACTGGGTCTTTTTTTTTTTTCATCGTTTCATCCTGCACACTGGTCCTTTGAACCCCCACTATCTCTCTGTCACGTTATGGCTTATGTTTGTGGCTATCTTAAATACTACATGAGCTATTGTCAACAAATCCCTCGTAAGACTAAAAACAACAATGTGTTAGTCTGTCTCTCAGTACTTTCCAACTTATCTGTCTCACAACCCAGCCCATTTGTTTCTACTGCAGATTTACATATAGTTAATATGCCCAACAGATGGGCTCTGGGATTTTAGCAAACATTACTTAAACAAGAGGAAATAGTGCATTTATTCTGGACTATTTTAAGCCGTGGATTAATGCACATTTGGTGCTCTAGTGGGTATTTCCTTTGCAGGACTTTGTATTTAATAGTTTCTGTACAACACGAAGCTGTAAGGCACAGAGGAATCAGATAAATAAGTCTATACAGAGGAAATACTTGTTAGTAGGATCAATTAATTGTTTGGTTTGTTGACTATGAGAACATTCCAGCCTCACCTTTTAATAAGGCACCTTAACTTTGAACACTTCACACAGCTCCATACACAACAAACTGTGAGTTCTGATACCTTTCTATTAGAACCAGCATTAACTGTTTCAGCAGTTTGAGCTACAGTAGCTCGTCTGTTGGATCGGACCACACGGGCCAGCCTTCACTCCCCACGTGCGTCAATGAGCCATGAACCTGTCTCCGGTTCTTTTCCGTCCTTGGACCACTTTTGATCGGTACTGACCACTGCAGACTGAGCTGCAGGTTTGGAGATGCTCTGACCCAGTCGTCTAGCTATCACAATGTGGCTCCTTGTCAAATTCGCTCTAATCCTCACGCTGCCCATTTTTCCTGCTTCTGACACGTCAACTTTAAGGACAAAATGTTCACTTGCTGCCTAACGTATCCCACCCACTGACAGGAGCCATGATAACCAGATAATCAGTGGTATTCACTTCACCTGTCAGTGCTCATAATGTTATGGCTGCAATATATTGGGATCCTGTAACAAAAGCAATATATATTACAATCTTTGAATCTAGTAATAGTATAAAGAACATACCATCATATTCATAAAAGGTGAGTTTAAAATTAGATTTACAGTAGGATCTGCATTTGTCTTTATCACAGTTTCTGTAACATCCAACATCATAGATTACAACACTGCTGTCAGCGGTTGTTTAAACACAAAAACTGATATGAATCAATACAGCATCACAACACAATATATACCGGTTGGTTTGATCTACTTTAAAGGTTCAGTGTGTAACATTTAGGAGGATTTACTGACAGAAATGGAATATATTATTCATAACTGTGTTTTCATTAGTTTATGATCACCTGAATATATGAATCATTGTGTTTTTTTGTTACCTTAAAATGAGAGGTTTTATATCCATGCATGGCGCGGGTCACCTTCCATGGAGTCCGTCATGTTTCTACAGTAGCCCAGAACGGACAAACCAAACACTGTCTATAGGTAGGGCCAGGGGTAGAGTTTCCCGGCCACTCTAGTTTCTTCTACAGACTTCACAGCTCTCATTACCAGGTCGTCAGCGGCATTCAGTTAGTTGCAAACTGCAAAAAACATTTGACTCTTTGGGATGAACATGGTCATTTGTGATGAATACTGTTACTTAGAGATAATATTGTGATCAGCTCTTACCGAACTCTGAATATCACAGTTATACTTTCAATCATGAGGTTCCTCAGGAATGTTAGAAAACAATATAATAAACTATCTTTTGTCCTTATTGGCCTTCGTCTGTGATTATGTGTAAAACAAAATGGAAGTTAATTCAGTAAGACAGATGACAGGTAGTCTCTCAGTCTAACTCCAATTAAACAGTGACTCACTGGGTGCATACTGTAGTAATCCAGCTGCAGGTCTTTGTTGTGCAGCTCCACCTGGTTACCCAGAGTGCTGCTGGGCAGACGGTGGTCACCGTGGTTATGAGCGAGCAGCTGCCATTTGATTGGGCGGCTGTCTTTGGCTCTGACGCATGATAGGAGAGCAACAGAAGCAGCCGTCACACATGTGAGAGTGACTGTATGTGTGTGGACAGTCTTGTGTTTGTTTGTTTGTTTGTTTGTGTCAGCATTCACAGGCCTGAGGAACAGCAGCTAAGGGAATGTGCAGTGTGTGTGTGTGTGTGTGTGTGTGTGTGTGTGTGGTAGGAGTGAAGCAGGGGTTGCTCTCAGCTCTGCTCGTCCTGCCGTTCTTTCCATTGCTGACATTGCTGATTTTGTTTAAGTGTATTGGTGTGCGTGTGTGTTTGTGAGTTGATGTGTGTGTGTGTTTTACTCGTCTTCTTGACTTTGTTGTGATGAGGGCAGGTTTTTCTCTCATCGCATTGGTGAAAAGTAACCACAGTGCATTTACTCAAGAGCTGTACTTAACTACAATTTTGAGGTAATTGTACTTTATTGGAGTGTTTCCATTTTTGGCAGCTTTATACTTCTACTTCTCCACATTATAATCTGTACTATAATCTATAACTATAATCACTAGTTACTTTATAAATTAAGATTTACAATTTATGACATATGATGATCTTATGTTAGTTGATAGTTAAACTACAACAGTGAAATACTACTTACACATTTATATTAAAGTAATATAATGTTTTGCATCTTTTACTTTTTAGAGAGATGAAAAAATTGGTCTTTTATATATTAGTTGACTAGCAGAAAATCTATTTTGATAACCAAGCATCATTCTTTGGATAAATTCTTTAATGAAAAATTTAAATGAAAACGTATTCTCTGATTTTAGAGATCTCAGTATTAATGATTTGTTGCTTTCCGTTCTGTTGGACAAATAATTAATCAAGAAAATAATCTAAACAATAGTTCTTAGTTAATATTGACATACTTATACTCAAGTAG